TTGGCCCAGGATCAGGCAGTGCTTTGTTCTGCTGTGCATAAGGTCACATAGGTCGGTACTGACTCAATGGCACCTAACAACAATAACAACATATCTAGATTGTGTTCTGGATGGTGTTATCATGTTGTTGGTTCTCAGTTTCCAAAGAACACCCTTTAGTCTATTTTATAAAATTGGTCTGGTTATTACAAATTCCTTCCATTTCTATTTATCTGAAAATGTCCTAATTTTGCAATTGTTTTTGAGGGGCAGCTTTGTGGGTATATGATCCTTGGCTGGTGACTTTTTTCTTTCAGAGTTTTGCATGTTATCCCATTGTCTTCTTGCCTGTGTGGTTTCTAAGAAATCAGAGCTAAGTCTTCTTGGTTCTTTTCCATAGTACTTTTTGGTTTCCCCAAGCTGCTCTCAGCATTCTTTCCTTGTCTTTGGTTTTGGAAAATTTGATCATGATATGTCTGGTGATTTTCTTCTAGGATCTATCCTGTTTCGTGTTTGTTCAGTCTCTTGTATGTTTATCTTCTCAGCTTTCATGATGTTAGGGAAGTTTTCTTCCAACTACTCTGACAATTTTCTATGTGCTTTTCATTATGTCTTCCTGTTCTAGAATTCCAATCACCTGTAAGTTACTTCTCTTCATGTTATCTCACATAACTCTTAAGCTTTCTTTAAATCTTTTTCACTCTTTTACTGATTGTTCTTCTAGCATACTAGTCTTGGGAGATTTATCTTCAAGCTCACTAATTCAGGCTCTCATTGCTTTGCATCTGCTCCTGTCAATGTTTTGTCCATTTCTAAAACCTTAACATTAATCTTCTGGATTTCTAATGGCAGGTTCTAGATCGTATCAAAACTTGCCTTTACTTTGTTTGTTCTTAATGGCGTTTTCCTGAATTCTTCTCAAGTTTTTTCTGTGTCCTCCTTGTTTTTCTTGATCTTTCTGTCAATCCTATGAAGGTATCTAAATATCATTCTTTTGAGTTTGTTTTTAGTCAGTTCCATGGCCTTCTATTCTTCAGAAATGCTCTGTATCTTCTCATTTGTTTCTGGGTCACTGTCTCATTTATTCGTGTGAATTAATTGCCTGTTGTCTCTGAGACAGTGTGGTGTTTTTGTATTTATATTTACTTGGTTATTGTATGCTGACTTGTTCTGAGGCTCTCACTATATCCTGTGGATGTAGTTGGAGAAGGGAAGTGTGTGCACTGTTCTCTGTCCCTGCACCTCAGTTTAGGGTGGGTTTGGCTGGTGTTGGCTGCTATCTGTCACTGGTCAGGTGGTATAGGAACTGATACTGGCTACTGCCCAATGGGTGGAGCTACACAGGGCACGGTTGTGGCTGGGCTGTATGATTTCTCCCTTGGAGATCATGTCTCAGACCCTCTATTCTAAATAGTCCTTCCTTAGTGTTCTGCTGCGGTGCTGTAGGGTAAGCACTAGACTGCTGACCTCAAGGTTGGCAGTTCAAACCTACCAGCCACTCCTTGGAAACCCTGTACAGGCTGAGAATGCATTGGAACCAACTCGACACACTTAACAACAACAACAGTCCTTTGTTATAACATAACCTGGTTTACTTACCTGATAGCACGTTTCACCATGGAGAAGGCTGTTTTTCTTAAGTGCTGTCGAGTCGGTTCCGACCCATAAACGACCCTGTATAGCATTTCCGAGGAGCAGGTGGTGAGCTTGAACCACAAACTCTGTGGTTTAAACCGACTCTGCAGTCCAGTGCATTAACCCACAGCACCACAGTAGGGCTGCACTATGGACTGTGAACCACAAGGTCAGCAGTTCAAACCCACCAGCTGCTCCTCAGAAACCCTATACAGAGTCACTGTGAGTGAGAACCGACTCGACACAACAACCACCATTAAAAAGGGCTATCTTTTGATAGCTCTGAATAGCTCACCCTAGAAAAGGTGCTCAGCATAGGGTAAGCATTCATGTATCTGCTAAGTAAAGAAATCTTGAATCAACTGCAATCAATCCGTGTGACATCAAGCTGCTGAGAAATCCTGACCCTGAACAACAGCAACGATATACTTTTACCTTCAGCGTGCATCTTCCTGCTGAATAAAAGGTAGCTGAAGAATTTAAAGACAATGTATTAAGATTCTCAGCTCAAAGGAACAATTCACCTTCGGGACTGTTCAATTCCGTGTTTGGATTATGCTCCTGCAGTATCCTCAGACATTGCTGGTATTTCGGAGAAGCCTGATCCACACCCAAGACACTCAAGTCATAAGCATCCAGTAGAATGAAGCGGAATTTAGGGAAGGGTACAAAATGGTAAGCATAATAATCCTCTGAAGGGACAGTCTCAGGATGATGTGTAATTTGGTCTTCTAGACACTTTGTGTTCAGTTTGGAGTTTGCCAAATAGTCTCTACTAAAGTTATAAAACTCGTGGTTGCCCCATGTATGATGAACTGGGACTTTGAGCATTTTGAATGTGTTTATAACCAGCTCCAGGGACTTTTCTGAGGCTTGCTGCTCTGCATTATAGCCATCGATGATATCTCCGAGCTGCAGTACACAACAGGGTGCGCTGGCTTCTTGATTCCAGTCTTCAATAGCGCCCTGCAGATGAAGAAGACTGTGTCTGTAATACCGCCTCCTGGTTCCATGGAAATTAGAGCCATCGTCTAGATCAGCGTACTGAATATCGGCTATCACTCCAAAGGAGAAGAGGTGTTCTGAACTCTCACATAGGGTTCCAGGATGGTGCTTATCATCCATAACCTCCAAACAGCTTTCCTGTAAACGAAATCAAGTGAAAAAGATAAAGTTATAAGCACCTTAATTTTTTAACCGGACTGAAGAAAATGCTAAAATGAATATTAAACTTAGTAGTTTAACTTACTAAGGGCCTTGGTATGGAGACAAGGTCTTTGGATGACCATAGATTAGAATGACCATGTTTGTACAACACTTCCAATTTCTTATCTGTAAAACAGATGATAACTACCATCCTTCCGGAGAGTAACAATTTACAAAAAGGTGTTTTCATTCTATTAAGAACTAGGCATCCTAATTGTAATGAAGCCAAATTCAAATCTGAAATAATTTCTTATTCTGAAGAAACAATACACTAATTCTAAACACACATATACTAACATCTTTCCACCAAATACTAAAATGCTTCTGTCAAAACTTCAAGGTTCTATTTGAAAGTATGATACTAATTCATCCTAAGTTATATACTAGATCCCCAATATAGGCTCCTTTCTATAAGGATAGGTCTTTCCTCTCTGCTGATGGGTAGTGGTGGTGTTAAGTGCCATCAAGTCAGTTCCAACTCATAGTGACCTGTATAGTTTCCAAGGAGTGACTTGTGAGTTTGAACCACTGGCCTTCCAGTTAGCAGACCAATGCTTATGTGACAGCACCACACCTGTACACCATGTGGGTAGGTTGTTGTTGTAGTTAAGTGCCATGGAGTTGGTTCCAACTCACAGAGATCCTGTGTAGGGTTTCTGAGGAGCTACTGCTGAGTTTGAATCATCGAACTTGTGGTTCAAACTGACCTTGTGGTCCAGTACTTATCCACTCCAGATATGTAACCTGAAATAAGTTTCTCAAATTTTTAAGCAGGAAGAGGCAGTGGAAATATGAAAAGAGTGGAATTTATTTTTTTTTTTTTACTTAAATATGTATTTATTTGGAGAGGAATAATTCAATAAAGAATTGGCATAAAATTACCTATGACACTGTCATTTCTGTGAGCAGAGCCTCTTGGTTGTTTAATACTTGGATTCTAATTCTAACTTTTTTTGTCTTTAATCTGAATATTGACCCCTTGACTCCCATAATCCAAGCAGGAAATAACTAATCTTTCTTTCTTTCAAATGACTACTGCCCTGGATTGTGACCAACAAGAGCAAGGAATTTAAACCACCACCATCCCTACACACACACACAAACAAAAATATATACTTTTATTAGTGTTTGCAATCTAAATTTGTAACCATCTCTTAAAAGAACCATGAACACAAAGGATTAAAACAAAACTAACGGCCAAGATCCTAAATTATCAGCTCTTTTTATTGTCAAAGATTGCAGTATAAATTGTTACTGGGAACCTGCATTTATTATTAAAACGTAAATCATTTGTGACATCTAAGAATCACATTGAGACTTCTGATCTGCAGTCATTTGCCCTATTAATATACCTACAAAGTCTCATGGACCCGTCTACAGATAGGTGAAGTCCTAATTATAAACGCTCCCGTACCAGATTTGGTAGCAACAACTCCACAATCGGCAACACAAATCAGACTCGCGTTTTACTTATTTGAGAATTAAGGGCCTCATTTGGAATCCTGGTGTGGTGCTATAGGATAAGCAGTGGACTGCTAACCACAGGGTGGCAGTTCAAACTTACCAGTCACTCCTCGGAAACCCTGTACAGGGTCGCTGTGAGTCGGAACCGCTTCTATAGTACTTAACAGCAACAACATACAGGGTTGCTATGAGTTGGAATTGACCTGATGTCCCTGGGTTTGGTTTCATTCTTTAATGGTCATCCCTAATGGTACACTTGCTAATTGGTCTATCCCCTAATGAACTTGGTTACTTTCCTTTATTCCCTAATCTGGTTGGATAGAAACCAAAACACCAAACCTACTGCTGTTGGCTCAGTTCCGACTCACAGCGATCCTCTAGAGCACAGACCTGCCCCACATGGTTTCCAAGGCGGTCGAGCTTAACGGAAACAGACTGCTTCATCCTTCTCCCAAGGAGCAGAGCATGAGTTTGAAGCCAACCTTTTGGGTGACAGCCACCAGGGCTCCCTGGTTTGATGTGTTATGTTGTGAAGCGCTGTCCAGTTGGTACTGACTCATAGTTACCCTGTATAAGGTTTCTCAGGCTGTCAATCTTTACAGGAGCAGTAAGCCTTATCATTCTCCCTTTGAGTGGCTGGTGGGCTTGAACTGTTGACTTTGTGGTTTACAGTTTATCCTCCAGAGCCACCATACTCCTGGGGTTGAATGTAACTAGCCCTAAGACATCAGTCTTAGAGTCCTGGTGGATAATACACCGGACCACAAGGTTAGTTTGAACCGCAAGGTGGGCAGTTCAAACCTCAGAAACCCTAGACAGGGCTACTATGAGTTGACACTTAACAACAAAGACATCAATCTTAGGAGTCCTAGTGTGACACTATAGGATAAGCACTGGACTATAAGATCAGTTTCAGCCACAAGGTTGGCATCAAACTCACCAGTTGCTCCCCTGCAAACCTATAGAGGGTCGCTGTGAGTTGGAACCCACTCAATGGCACTCACTTACCAACAACAACAACAACAAGAAAACAGCACTAGAAAAGAAATAGAAATCCTGAAAACTGGTTTGGAGTTCTCATGTTACATTTTTGTATTTCCTCATTTCTTCCTTCAGCCCTCATCTAAAGCCCCTACCAATGTCAATAAAGATATATACGCAGTGGTATATAAATGAGAAGTAACCCGATCGTAAAGGTGTAAAACTCAGATACAATGACAAGAAATGCAAAATTCACAGTGTCAGCTGAAGATCCCTAGTTCTAGTAGGTTTCACATTTTCTTGTGATTCCAAGAACAGATTAACAAGAGGAAAGAACCAAATAATATTTTAGCAAGTACATCACATGACACATTATTAGCAAAGCTTAAAGGGAAAATGATTTCTGAGCGTCCCTTTATCCCTTGACAAATGAGCTGTTTGTTTTAACCTTTAAATAAGGTTTAAAGGCTATAGCATCCCGGGATTAATCAGAGCCTTTAAGGAGACAATATGTACTATGGCTCAGCTAGAGGGACTTTAGTCCCAATTAATTTGATTTTTTCTCCAATAGACAGCTGTTATTTTTGTCTATCCAGCATTCACTTCCTGTTCTTTTGGTAACAGGGCATCTACCCAATTCCTTATTCTCAACTCATTTGGTTGGTGCTTCAGGCCTGACCTTTTATAAAAGCCCCAGTTCCCTTTTGGCCAGCAGGCAGGCAACCCAGTTGAGTCAATAAGCACTAGTTCTGGGATCTCTCTAAACCTATTAACAAAACCGCTAGCATACTGGTTACAAATCGGGCTGCTAACCCCAAGGTCGGCAGTTCGACACTCACTACCAGCTGTTTCGCGGGAGAAAGATGAGGCTTTCTACTCCCATAAAGATTTACAGCCTCAGAAACCCTGTGCAGGGTCACTATGAGTTGGAATCGACTCCACAGTACTTAACAACAACAACATTCACAAAACCGCAAGGTTGGCAGTTCAAACCCCCAGCTGCTCCTCAGAAAACCTATACAGGGTCGCTATGGGTTGGAACTGACTCCGACTCCGTGGCACTTAACAATAACATTAGCAAAAACTACTGGAGCTACCTCTGCTAAGAAGTTTCCTGAGCATAAACGCAAAAGGAAGTGAATCTGAATGACAATTAGTAGATTCTGGAAAACATTAAGACAATGCCCGGATCTACCAGTCCCTGCTATAACTATCCAGGACAAATTCATCAGCCAACAAATTCCCCTTTTAAGCTTACAACCAAGACTAATTGGCTTTCTGTCATGTATTACCAAACAGCCTATCAGAGACAGTTACCACTGAATAGATTCAGCCTGTGAAAAACTCTAAGCTACATTAAGACTTAAAACAACTTGGGAGAGTACCACCCACCAAGGACCACATGCTTCACAACAATGTGTTCTGGGGTAGAAGTAGTAAGTGGTGGTGGTGTGTGGTAGTCTGTTCCGAGGGTTTCCAAGACTATAAATCTTTACGAGAGCAGAAAGCCTCATCTTTATCACATGTAACAGCTGGAAGTTTCAAACTGCTGGCCTTCAGGTTAGCAGCCCAACTAGTAACCATTACGCTATCAGAGCGAGAAATCCAAAATGTTGGAAACTGATTTAAAAATAAATAAATAAAACAGGATAAGCATAGGGACTATACCATTTTATTAATTATTTTGAAAAGTATATTTCAACTTACATTGTGGTCTGTGAAGATCAGAGATATGTGGGCAGGGGCATGCTGTGAGTTAGACATTGGGCTGCTAACTGCAAGGCTGGAGGCTCCAACCCACAGTTTCTCCACAGGAGAAAGATGAGGCTATCTGCTCCCGGAAAGGGTCTCTATGGGTCGGGATGGACTCAAAGGCAATGGGTTTTTTTGGAGGTTAGGAGTTTAATGTGTTGGGCTAACTGCAGGCTCAGAAGTTCATACCCATCAGCCACTCCATGGGAGAAAGAGGAGACTGTCTGCTCCCATAAAAGTTTCGCCTTGGGAACTCTAACAAACAGTTCTACTGTCCTACAGAGCAGTCATGAGTTGGAATCAGCTCCATGGCAGTGGGTTTGGTTTTCTGGGGATTTATGTAGGGAATTCACTGGCACTATAGGATCAGCACTGGACTGTGAACCATAAGGTTGGCAGTTCAAACCCACCAGCTGTTCCTTGGAAACCCTATAAACACGGTCGTTGTGAATCGGAACCGGCTCGATGGCACTTAACAAAAACAACATTTATGGTTCCGAGAGTACCGGAGGGCTCAGAAAGATTAATCTAGAAAACAAAGAACCAAAGCCATATCCAGTGGACAAACTTAGAATTCAGAAGCATACTTAAACTGTGGAATGTTTTCAAAATACCCCCTGCCTGCCCTAAATACACATGGACTCCCATGTGGCACTGTAGGATCTGCACTGGAATGGCAACAAACCACATATCGGCGGTTTCAACACTATACATGGCCACTATGAGTCAGAACCGATTCAGTGGCACTTTACAACAATTTAACTAAATATACACACAAAAATATGGGAGTATAGGATAGAACATAATTGAAGTGGATTTCTAGTAATAGGTATATGAGGTTTATTCTACTTTCAGACAAGTTTTTTATATCCATAAAGTTCAAAAACTAATCCTATAATTCAGAGAAAATAAGGCACAGAAGAATTCGAAGTTAAGAATGTGCTTTAGAAAAGAAAGGGAAATAGCAAATGCCTGTTGAAATTTATTCTGAAAGTTTTGTCTGCACCACTTACCTAGGTTTTAGTTGTTGTTGATGCTGTTAAGTGCCACTGAGTTGGTTCCAATTCATAGTGACCCTGTATAACCGAGTTTCCAAGGAGCTGCTGCTGAGTTTGAACCTCTGACCATGTGGTTCAAACCAACCTTGTGAGCCAGTGCTTTATCCTACAGTGCCACACCAGGACTGTGGGTTTTAGATAACTCTTAAAATGAAGTGCTAAATGCTTTGAAATTGAAGACCTGTATGTGATTAACTTTTCAGTCTAGAAGCAGAGGTCCCTGGGACCATTAAGGGAGAAGAGCGGAGAACGGGACCCTACCCAGAGCAGAGACGATGACGTGGAGAGATGGAGCAGCTGGGGACTTTAGACCGAGAGAGGGAGAGGGGTTGTGTGCTGACGACCGGAAGGCAGCCTTGCAGGGTATACCCTTTGGTTGGTTGATGATGCATGGGATTGTAACCATAGCAATGAAACGATATATGATAGGATGAATGTAAAACTAATGTTTTCCCATGTAAACTATCACATAATTCACAATAAACATTAAAATAAAAAAAGAATGCCCAGCAATTTTTTTTTTTTGTAAAACATTAAGCATTATATGCATATGATGAAAAAGAAACTTTAAATTATATGTTTGAAAATATGTCTGGTGAGTCTAAAGGTAAATGTAACAACTGCAACTTTTTCTAGAACAGAAAAAGAAAAATTGCACAAGATTTTCTCTCAAAACTCCTACAAAAAGTCATTAAGTAGCCAGCATTTTGTGGAAGTGTTTTTGTCGTTAGGTGCTGACTGCAGTTTTTGTTATCAAGTAGGCATGCTGGTGTGGCACTGTAGGATAAGCTCTAGACTGCTAACCACAAGGTCGGCAGTTCAAACACACCAACCACTCCTCAGAAACCTTCTATAGCGTCCCTGAGTCAGAACCAACTTCAAAGCACTTTAACAACAACAGATTACAAACCAGGAGATCCATGTTGTAGTGTAGAACTGCACTTTGCAGGGTTTTCATGCTCCCACCCCACAGCCAGGCCTTTTTTCACATTGAAAGGGTTCAAAGGTCTCTCTGGAGTGCTTAACCATGTGTGCTACCAACTCAAAATGCCATGTTTCGTCCCACAATCACTAGGGCAAACATAGTTTCTGCCTCAGTGACAGCTTCCTGAAATTAAAAGTCACACAGGAAGTATGAAGTAATGGAAGAGAATTGGAGGCATTTTCCCCTCTTTATCTACATTTTGCAAATCAATTATGTGTCTATGGGGTGTGTGTGTGTGTGTGTGTATAAAACTGCAGCTATTAAGACAGAAACAACAGCAGATGAATGGAGGGGGAAAACAACCCACTGCCATCAAATGGCACAGAGGGTTAAGCATTGGGCTGCTAACAGAAAGGTCAGTGGTTCAAACCCACTAGCCGCTCTGTGAAAGAATGGCGAGCCTGTTTGTTTTCATAAAAATGTAGTCTCTAAAACTCTGCAAACAGTTCTATTGGGGTCTACAGTATTTCTATGAATATGAGACAGAAGGAATGCTAGTTAAAACGACTTTCACAAGGAATGAAAAAAATCAAAAAACTTACTGTATTAGGCAAATATACTGCAAAAGACCTCTTTAAAAGTGTTAAAAACCAAATTTAACAGTTTGAGGACTAAGGTGTGCCTGACCCAAGCCAAGGTATTTTCAATAGCCTCATATGCACATGAAAGTTGGACAATGAATAAGGAAGACCATAGAAGAATTGATGCATTTGAGTTATGGTGTTGGAGAAGAATACTAAAAGTACCATAGACTGCTAGAAAACCAAACAAATCTGTATTGGAAGATGTACAGCCAGAACGTTCCTCAGACACCTGGATGGTGAGACTTCATTCTGACATGTAATCAGGAGGGGCCAGTCACTGAAGAAGGACATCATGCTTGGTAAGGTGGACACTCAGTGAACGAGGTAGATTGGAACAGTGACAGCAGCAATGGGCTCAAGGAAAATAATTGTAAGGATGGCACAGGACCGGGTAATGTATCTATCATTCAGTTGTGCATAGCATAGCTATGAGACAGAACCGACTCGGTGGCTCCTAATAACAACTTAACCTCACCAGTAAGGGGCTGTATTATCCAAACAAGATAAACGGCCCCAGAACAAGCTAAAAACAAGAGAAAACCCAGAACAAGCTAAAAACAAACGGAAAGAGACTGGGGCACAGGAGAAGGCATTTTACCGAAGAAACTAGGACCCAAGGAAATAAAATCAAGGTTACAGTACACATCCACAAAACTTTGTTGAAGCCCCCTGGTAGTTCTTTGTACAGTGCTGTGCTTGATAACTAACATTATAATGTGAGGCTAACTGGATGCTTGAACTGCATGGTCGGCGGTTCAAGCTCACCAGCTGCTCCTCGGAAACCCTATACAGGGTCGCTTTGGGTCGGAACGGACTCGACAGCACTTCACAACAACTGGATGCAAAGGGTAACTTCAGTCACACTTTAGTCCTTTGTCGTCCTAACCGGTCAAATGATTGTGATTGTTATTGTTAAGTACCGTGGAGTCGGTTCCGACTCAACAGTGATCATGATTGTTGTTGTTATGTGCCGTGGAGTCTGTTCCGACTCACAGTGACCCTGTACAGGGTTTCCGAGGCTGTGTAAATCTTTACGGGAGCAGAAAGCCTTATCTTTCTCCGGCAGAACAGCTGGCAGTTTCGAACTGCTGACCTTGAGGTTAGCAGCCCAATTTGTAACCACTAGTGATCATGATTGTTGTTGTTAAGTACCGTCAAATCGGTTGCGACCTATGAGACCCAGTATAGGGTTTCCGAGGAGCAGGTGGTGAGCTTGAACGGCCGACTTCGCAGTTGAAAGGGCTTTGCAGTCTGGCGCTTTAATCCACAGCGCCACCCCAGGACTCCATGATTAGGAGAGGGGTAATATCAAGGATTATTTCAGGGGCAATGGATCGGCTTCTACTTCGATCAACAGCTTCGCGGTTCCACTTGGGCTGTCTGGACAGAACGAGGGTTACCCGGTGGGGGTGAGGGGCTGGTCCTTGGGCAGCGTTTTCTCTCCTAACAGACTGGGGGTGCACAATGGGGCGTTGCTAACTGCGATCGCCCAAACCCGGCGAGTTCAATCCAAAAAAGGTGCCCCCCACGATCATGGGTCACTGAACCCGGCTCAAGGCGTGGCCACTACCAGGGGCTCCTCTGCCCGATCCAGTCCCTCCCCTGCCAGCCCAAGTCTCGCAGCCCAAGCAGACACCCGGTCGGACCCGCCTTCAGCTGCAAAGAACCACCTACCGCCGCCCGGCTCCTCAGCTGACTGCTTCCTGACTACCACGGACTTTCCACTCAACCATCGAGCGACGCGGGCGGAATGAGCGCCCACGGTTGGCTTTCGGAGGAAGAGGAACCGGAACCGGAGGTCGGAGGGCGGGCTAAGGGAGGCGTGGCTCCTAGGCTCATGGCGGGTGGCTGGTTGGAACTCTGCGGGAACATGCGGTCTTTGGGTGGCCTATGTTGGCGTCTCATGCCTCGCGGACCCAGGCTTTGGAGCTCGCCCCAGGGGCCTTTGAGAGCCGTGTTCAGGCCACTCTGCGCGCGTCCAGAGGAAGCGTGGCTGGCTTCCGGGCTCGCCGGCTGCTACAGGGGAAGCCGGTTTCTTAGTACTGCGTTACCTCCACCACCAGGGTCGTCGGGGCCGGGCTCGAAAGGCCGTAGAGACCCAACGCGCCCCTTGCAGCCCGGGGTGAGTGCAGACCTGGAACCTTTCCATGGCTTGTTGCCGCTGTCTGACGACCCTTGTGCCCAGAGCCTCCGGAAGTAGGCGGCGTGGCCTGAAACTCAACTCAAGGGTTCTTAGGGTCTCATCCTCGTTTACCTTGGTTCCCCCGTAGCCCCAGGAGAGAACTGAGAAACTACGCCCTCTCTGTGTGGTTAGATAGTCGGCCTTGGGTTTCTGTCAGCCTTTGAGTCAAAATCATAAGTCAGCTTTTCTCAGGGGTCTCAACCTTAGATTTACCAGGACTGAAGAGTCAGAGCACTTGTGTAAATTTTGTCACTTGACTCCCCCTCGTTAAAGGGTCCATGAATTAGTTGACATTGAAGTTAATGTTCTCGTGCATGCTGGTGCCATATTTTGGGTAAACGTTTTATCACGTTCCAGTTGGGACCCAAAAAGATTTAGAAAGGCCTCGTGGCGCAACTGTAGCACATCTGACTCCAGATCCTAAGGTTGTGTGTTCAAGTCACGTTGGGGTCAAAGGTGTATACTGTTAACCACGGAAGTCTGCACTTCAAACACACCAGTCACTCTTTTGAAACCCTATACGCTATTGTTAAGGAGCTCTGGTAGCGTATTGGTTATGAATCAAGCTGCTAAGCTCAAGGTCAGCAGTTC